AAATAATCAGTTTTACGTCAACTGATGATTAATATTGAATTATAAGAAGAGATTCGATGGTGAAGGATAGTAATTATTTCCAGTAGATTGATAAGTAAACTAATATTTTCTAAGATTTCATATAATTTATTGGAATGACATCAGTTGTGTAGTCTTAAGTATGAAGACATTATTTGTCCTATGCTTTCTAGTTTTCATCAATACTCAACTTGAAAATTACAGACGGAAGTTACAAGTCATTCACAATTCCATATATAGGTAAACAGTATTGAGGTAGACCCCGTTTCGTCGAAGTGACGAAACAGTATTGACTTGAGAACTAAAAGTTAGACAAATAATTTTTGAACGTTGGCTTCAAATTTTCTTTTCTGTAAAAGTGTAAATTAGTTTTAATTCAATTTAGATAACAGAACGTCAGTTCGGTTTTCGCCAAAGGCAATTAATTTTATTCTTATTATACAAAAAAAAAACGATAATTATACGGAGGAAGTTCAGTAGAATGAAACATTCAAAGTAGATTTGCATTTTCTAGATAATTTTTCTCACGAATTGACATCAACTAGAGAATTATTAGAAATCATTCAGACAACATTGAAAAATTATTAAACTGAAATATACTTGTCTATGGATATCTAACACGATCATGTCAGTTAAATTAAAGTAGTAGTATTATTAGTAGTATGTGCTGAATGTTTTACGTCTTATGAGATAATAGAAAATGACTGGTCAATGTTAATCTTGTGGTTCAATTGAACACTACATAAGCAGCTTACAATGAACTGAGTACACTGTCTTTACCATTTCACTACACAGTTATACTAAAACAATTTCTTAAGGCTTGAAATAGTTAAATTATAAAACATTAACTCATGTAAATGATTTCATTTGTATTCACTATGCATTTGAATATAGCTTATCAAGAGACATTAATTTTCACTCTTAGAATTACAGTTGAGCGTACTGAAAATACCATGGTATGCTTTCTATTTTATTGTTTGTCTTCGATAAAGCAGTACATCATCAAATTCTGTCTAAATATTCAGAGGATTCTCAACCATTCGTGAATAATTATCTACGTATCTTGATTCAGTAATTTTATTTGTAAACTTATACATTGAAAGCTATTCTCAACTACAATGTATTGTACACCTTTTTAGATCATATCTCTTTTCATATGAGTTAATGTCCCAAAAGCATTCTTAGTATCTTTGATATTGAGCAACTCATAAATGAATTTCTGTCCCTAAAAGATTGTGTGCATTGCGACAGTAGTTATTGCTGTCGTAATTAAAGTAGAAGACTTTTCATATGAATAAATAAATGAGAATCAAAACTTGCATTTACTGAATTAGCCCTTAATACAGATGCAATGAAATGGATTCCAGTCCAGCAGACTAATATCATACCTCACCATCTCTTTTTGAAAGTGGTCATTAAGATTCGATCGACAATTTCAGTCTATATTCGTTTGTTTTAGATGAAATTGTGAACATTTATATTACTGAGCTGAAGTAGTTACCAGTGTCATTTGTGTAGTTATTGTAGAAAATAAACTAAGTTTTACTTATTTTTTCAACTTTAAAACAAAATGAAGGAAATTGATCTTGTCTTCATTTGATTTGAGTAACCGTTTTAAAACATAATCCAGTATTTAAACAAAGAACAAGTATTCTAAAGCCCAGTACCTAAAATCTGGCTATAATTTGATATTTTAAAAGTTTTTATTAAACTGTACAATATACTAATTTCACCACATCTACGTAAGTAGTTGAGATTGGATTTTTACTTCGGTGATCATAATGATCTTAACAGCAGATTTACTCGCTTATAATTTGAACAGATTAAGCTCTGTAAGTGAAAGTGTTTGTATTCGTTATATCTTATAAGTTTACATCAGTGATGTCTACTTTTGCGTGTTTTTAGTCAAGATATTTCAAAAATATTTAGTTTAACATTTTCGTTTATTCTTAGTTATATAGTTGCTTTTCGTATTATACAAATTTTAACCCTTAAACGGCACATATTTTATGTATGTGTATTAACTTTGCTAGATTCTTTCATAGTCTATCCTTTTAGTGACATCATATTATTAATAGTTCGTTATTACCAAAAAAACGCTAGTTATGTAATTGTAACTATATTATATATTTTCTCAAAATAGTGGGAACTTCACTTCAAAAACATTTGTGTTGTAGTTTCAAAAGATTAATCGTTATGTATAGTCGAGCTTGGATCAATGGTTTGTTATGCTGTGGCTAACCGAAATTCTCTTTAATTTCGCTAGCATCAATAATTAGTAACATTCTGATTATTCACTATATATGTATATGATTCTTTTATGACTGCACAGTATGACACTAGTTATAAGTAAACGATCATTTAAGTTTATGAAAATCTAGTTTCTATAGCAAATTACCCGATACCCAAATAGGCTTAGTGGTAACTTGTCTACCATTGTGGAACATGTTTCCATTCTGGTTTGGATCTTATCAAGTCTCTAAGAATTAAGGATAAGTTTTACCAGAGTGCCAACTAACGCGAAATCTTAAACTCATGATTTTCTGTTGGTTGGCTCCGATTTAAAGTTTTCGACAGCAAACTAGAAGAATTATCGATCTTCTTATATATACATTCTAAGCGATGGAATATTTTAATCCATTTAGGCGAAATTTCTACTAGCCCAGAGAATTTAGTAAATCGTGATTTATAAACTGAAGAATTTCAACATTTTCTTAAAAATGATAAATGATATGCATAAAATAATTGAATTTTATTTGCTTTAACATGTAACCAAGATGTCAATGTAACTTTTATTGAGAATATTCAAAACATAAAACTCCAATAATAATATATCCAAAGATATCTTGGTTAGAATCTAAGCTAATATTAAAGTTTCTATTTAGAATGAATTATTAAAAGCTCTTATCTTGTGATCCAACCTGTAATATACCCTTCACTGTTGATCACATTAAAAGTTTATATATTTTGCTATATACAATTATATATGATTTGATCGGTTATTGAACTTTTGATGCTAAGTTTTACAACGTTCAATATTACATATTTTATGTAAGAAGGAAGAAAAAGACAGTCAGCAGGAAATTACTTGTAAATTGTATTTTATATGGCAAAGTAATTTCATACTTCTATTGGGATGTAAACAGTCATAGGCAACAATACTTAGCTTTGTAAGGTTATGGAATCCTTAATATTTATTTATTTTATGCGTACCATTTTCATGATTAAAAATGTACACATAGTTTGTATACCTAATTTTATAATGCAATTGGACAAAAATATTACCATTCGAAAATGACTTACTTGGTAAAATTTGCCTGTTTTCATATTCCATGTCATACTTTATTAGGTTTAATTATTATAAAAATTTCATTTTACTCCACTTATGCATTTCATGTAACATTTACAATTAATACCCGAATGTTTATCACGATCATTAGGCAATAGTTAAACTATTTCTTTATCTCTTAACCAAATAAAACTGTGAAATTCCATCAAATAAAATTCCATAACGCCAAAATTCAAAATAAAATAACAACAGTGTTGAATGGAAGGAGATATGGAATCAAACTAAACCTAAAATAAACAAAGTATGTCAAGCTGACGAGTCTCAAATAGGACGAAACAAGTATCCTAAATTCCACTGCCAGTAGTATTTCATATTTTTACTTTCTTCTTATACATGAAGAAATAAGTAAGATTCTACCATAAAATTTGTGTTTCTTCTATTAGGTTTTTGTTTCATTATTTTCATAAAAATAACTCATTTTTGTTAAGTCATCTTTTTATCTCCATAAGCAGAACTGATTGAACGTGAAATAATTTTTAGTTAAACACTTTTTATAAATTTCAATTTTGATTCATTTAATGGTATTGATAATTTACAACTATTGATTTTATACTTTAAATGGAACGTAATAATTCCCTGTGAGCATGGTTACTAGATTTAAATTATAAATGGAACCGATATTATCTGGTTAATTACTTAGTTAAATTTATGTAGGTAGATTTGTTTTAATTTAAAAAGTGATTCGTTTTTTTATTATATATATTAGTTTGACCATAAGATTATCAGAAGGATTTTGTGGATATTATAGTAATTTCAATGGTTGAAATCATGGATCAATTGAAGCTAGACCACCATGGAAAACCTGGAAGAACTGATTGGCTGTTTCGTCCTCCTGTGGGACTCCTCAGTAGTGCGCACTCACGACCTCACCTCGCGAGATTCTAATCCAGGACCTATCAGTCTCGCGCGTGAGCGCTCAACCACTAGGCCACTGAGGCAGCATCCACCGATGTTAGTGTATAACTTCAACCAATTCAGGAAATTCAGCGACACATCCATCAATCCCATCCAGTGCTTCCAGGTTTTCCATGGTGGTCTAGCTTCAATTGATTTATGATCTCAACTATTGAAATAAGTTTATTTTGAACTCCTACATTCAAGCTTAACTCATTACTTTTTGTGATGCGTGCTACTGATGTCGATTGATATAAGTAGTATGTATCATCATTTGAAAAGGAAAAGCCTGGAGACAGAATGTTAAACAGATCAAATAAAAGTGAACGAGAACAAAAAATGATTGATGTGGAAATGAAAGAACAATGAAGTCTCAGACGATTGGTTGACATTTCACAAATGAAGTATTTACTGTATGGTTCTGAGATTTTACTAAAAATGTTCTGTAATTTTGTATTCACATACATTCAAATGTCCCTAAGTATGCTCTCATTCACTACACTTTTAGTATTCTTTAACAAAGGGACCAGTGAGGACAAATAAAGAGAATATATATATTTAAAATTAAATGATCATTTAAACTTGATTCAACTTAATAGAATAAATTAGAATATGGAAAATATAAAACAAGACTGTTATCTTCTCTTACCATATTATTCTTATCAAATTCTATCTACTTACAAATAATACATAATAAAATATTTTTTTAAAAATTCATTTTATACTTTATATTTATTAGCTCTTTATTATCCAAAGCGATCGAATTTTTCACCTCGTCTAAAAAAGAATCAACCATTTATTGTTCGAATCAATGAAGATGCAAATTTACGTTATTATTCTGATGAATCACCATCGAACTCATTTGTTACCGATCAAATCTCAAATCCAACACCAAAAATTATGTAAGCAAGTGTTTGTATTTTTTTTTTAAAAAAAAGGAACATTTATATAGCTACTGTCTTGATTAGAGCATTGTGTTATTTACTTATATAACAAAGAAAATAGTAGAAAATACATCAAATCAATGATTGTTATCATCCAACTTAAATGTCAGTAGATCAACACATATACAACTTGTTAGATTTTATTCACAAATACCAATTGTTTCAGTAAATTTCATATATTGTGATTTAGTGCTTCAAAATGTTGGCTGATTGTTCTTTTATCATTTTGATTGAAATATACTCTTTATGTTCTATTAACACATTTAGTAGATAAATGAAATATCTGAATATTAGTTGAGTAGAGTGACATTATTAAATCGGATGCCTGAATCTCGTGAACTATCTCAACCATGGTTATTTCATAAAGTAAACTTATAGTACAGATATACTTGTACACACATAGTTCGAAATTTCTTTTGTCGTAGTTTTGTTAATCAGTGTGTTCATCTCATTTTAAGTTCATATTCTAGATGGCTAAAATAGATCAATGTATAATATTTATAATAATAGTAATATTACTACAATCTTTATTCAATAGCATGTGTTCAGTTGCAGGAAAGAATCCACAAGAACAAAATTATGTAAGTGATTAACCTGCGGTTATTCAGAAAATATGTATGGAATCTTTTCCATCAGTGATAATCTACCACTTACATTCATTCTTAAATATCTCTAATCAATTATACTCCTATGACTTCTCTTTTTGTCGCTTAATAAACTTGCATAGATTCTTTGTTAATCTCTACTCGTTTATTTGAAGAAATGCCGGGGAAAATATTAGAACCGTTTTGTTAGTTCTCGAGTTCTTCAGCTATTAAATTTTTGATAGGTTGTGAACATTTTACAGAAAGGCTAATAGACGTAAGTAGTTTATGAAAACGAGTCTGAAATAGTACTTTATAGAAATAAATGCACATTTGTAAAAGTTATGATCTAGAAATTCAAAGAGTTCCCTATAATCACAGTCACTCAATTCGATCTTCAACACACTGATTTCTACCGTTTATATCATATACTATAACCCAAAACCTATAAAGAACAAATTTTTACTGTAGTATCCTATATAAGTGAATAATAAATTATTCCGCATTACATTTTGTATCTGTACGTTTGTTATGTATTTCAATATTGTTGAAAACTACATTTATGGGTTGTTGAAGAAATACCATGATCTTGAGATGACCAATTTGAAAATGAAACAAATACTCCTACTAATGACATTGAATAAGAATCATGTCACTTCACACATTGATCAACATTCAAAAATGTGAACTACAGAATTTCAACCTAATGGTTCGATTAAATCATTCAGAATACTACATAAGCTAATAGTCTTAAGATTGTTAGCGTACACAAGTCAGATATATCTAATTTAGAATAAAGCAGTTATCTGATGCATTACAATTTCCAATGAGCATTAGTTCCTGGAAAAATCAACTTTAAACATACTAAAAACCTTGGAACTTCATCGCTTAATAATATTAATTTTTAAAGCTAAATTAGATTCATACACTGAAATTCTTTATAGTAATATAATGTAACTTAGCTATATAACCAGGTGTCTACTTGATGTGTATGATAAATTGTAACATAAGATCTATCTCTTGTTTCCAATTCCTTAATGTCAATATATTTTCTAACTGGTTCATACATTTATTCATGTAACCAAAAATTTTCGATTATTCACATTTACTTCGACGAATACAAACTTATACATGATTGTATTAAATGAATAATTGTTTCAAATATATTTCAAATATATACGATACACCTTTATCATTCTTTTTATAATAACTATGATTATTATGTATTATTAATATGTAATTCAGTGCAATGTTTCAATTGTCAAGGTTGTTTTTTTTTTTTAAACAAACAACAGCAACAAAGCAATGGCTGACACAGTATTCTCTGAATCAAGTATTATTGTAACAATTTATATTGCTTTTTTATCACTACAGTTTAGTTGAATTACTCAGACATGTACACTTTATGTACATTATGTGTATTTATCATGTATCACAGAAAAATTAACTTCTTTATTCAGAATAATTAATTAATCCTTTCACCTACATTCTGTTACATTTCAACTGGTAATTTAGAATTTTTTTTTACTGAACTGCCCACAATAAAACCAATCTAGTACTTACTCGATATTCATGATGAATATTAGAAAAAAAGTGTACACTTGCACACACACACACGCACGCACATACACACATACACTCATATACATTTGCAAATACAAACACATTTACACAAATAATGACCGAATATTCAGTGCTTAATGAATTACCCTTAGATTATAATTAATAATCAGGATCATTTGGCAAATATAATCATAATTTCAATGTTTCAAATTATGTATCATTGTGATAATCGTTACATAAATGTAACATTATGTTTATCTGATTTTTGTTGTTGTTGTTGTTGAAATAATGAAAAATGATTTACAATTTTTCGATAGTGATTATTACAATTGTAGTTGTATTATAGATGATAACATAAAGTTTTATTCATTAATCATTTAGATAATTTATGCTGTATACTTGTTCACGTAATTTCTAAGTCTTAAGGTTCATAAATAGTAACTATAATCTAAGCCTAATGCTTTTATTTTCATTAAAATAAAGGAATTAAGATGAATAGTGATTTAAGAGATTAGATTATTGATAAGACTGTATGGTTGTGGTGTCTATGAAACATTTATTTAGTAATCTATGTTATTTATTGTCACTGAATAAAACCTTCTCATAAACTCAGAAGAATGTATATTCAAAAGAGTTAAATCAATACAGTTTTTAAAACTGTCAAAAGAACAGTAGGAATGTTCAAATTGTATATTTTATTATGTGAATGAGTCAAATTTTATTAATGGAGACTTATTATTTCCCGACAAATCACGGAAGCATCAGTAATTCATTCACATTAGAACAGCATTGAAATCAACAACAAAATAATACTGTGCTTGAAATAAACCGTAACTGTAAAAGCAAGTGTACATCTAAAAATAGACCTATTCGTTTTTCTATTTTCATGATGATTAACAATGACTAACTTAATTTTATTACTTATAGATGGCATAAAAAAGATGAGCATCAATCAATTCCTATTTGGCCTCCAATTTCATCATCTTCAATGATAGATGAATCAAAGTTAAATGGTCCAAGACCTAGAATTTATGCTTTACGTGGACGTCATTTAGTAATTCATTCTGTTACTGAATTAGATTCTGGATCATATGAAATGATTTTAACGAATATCGCTGGTCGTGCATCTATTGTCTTTGATATTTTAGTTAATTGTAAGTAAATTATTTCAAAGTTACATTATTCTTTATATGATATATATGAAAAAAAGATTCAATATTATAAACCTTTCATTCATTAACATGTATACATTCATAATGTATATATTCTCTGCAATTCATTTAACTTAATATTATCTATTATTTAATGAAAACTGAATTCTGACAACGTTTCATTTCGATCTATTTCATTTTTATCATTGAAAAATTGAAATATTCTTTTTCGTTTCGTTTATTCTTATCTAAAAAAAAAGAACTTTCAACAAAGAAAAAAAAGAAAAGAAAAGAGAAAAAAGAAAAACGCATAAATTATTTAAATATATTTTTAAATATAAATTTTATAGATTTGGAATATACTTTGATCTTGTTAACTAAATGAATTATGTATTCTTGAATGGGGTGGTGTTTTTTTTAAAAAAAATTTATTTTCATTTATTCTATTATTCAATTTTTTTTTCCGGTATTCAATACCAGTTGTCATATTATCATCTATGAGTCAAATAGGATAATAGTTAGAAATGAATAAAATTGATTTCTTTATAAAGTTTGGTAACAATTAATTGATTGAATTATAACTAGGTATTTTATGATAATTTTTTTTTATTATTAATGAAATAAATTACTTAATTTTACCAGTTAGTATTATAAAGTGTGCCAATTATATCGATATAAGTAGTATATAACACGAGTCAGGAATATAATATCTGATAGCAAAAAATTAAGAAGATCAAGAAAGGAAGAAAATAGGAATAGAAATCGATTGGTATGGAATTGCGGGAATAGTTCAGTTTGAGACAATTTATTGATATTTTGCAAATTAAATAATTAATGAATGGTTCTCAGATTTTAATAAGATGTGCTGTAATTTTATGTTCAAATACATCCGATTGTCTTTACTTGTGTTCTCATTCACTACAGTATTTGTTCAATAGGTATTACACATTAGGACAAAATGGCCATCCAGTGCCTTCAGGTTTTTCATGATGGTCTAGCTTCAATTGGCTCATGATCTCAATCATTGAAATTACTATAATATCCACAAAAAATCTTCTGGTATAAATCAATAGGTATTAGTTATAATTAAATATTGTTAGTCACAGAGTTGCGGTTCTAATAGTTTTTTGGTAAAAATTCAGATTGTGACTGACATACATTCAAATCTCATACAACATTTCAATTCCCTTAAAATTATATATACACTTTTGCTAATAAATGTAAACTAACATGGAATCTAATTCCAGAATATTCTATTAACTGTCACATGTCATCTAACTTTATTGTTGTACGTAAACTTCTTTTTATTTCAGTCATTTTTCTATCTTAGATAAATGTATTCCTATTTAACATATAAACAGACATTCAGTGACTCGATAATAATAATGTAGGGAATCAACGATTATCCTTATTGTTTATCTTACAGTTGAAATTTCTCATTTCTAAATGATTACTAATAAGTATCAATACTTTTCCGAATAGCTAGATTAACACAACATTATTATTCGTTAGGCTGACCAAATTAGTTAGGAAGTTTCAAATAAAAAATTGAAATCTGGAAATAAACTCAATTCAATTGTATTAACTAAACAATCCAACAGTTGTACTATATGACTAAACATCTTTTATATACTTTCTTTCGCACTAAACACTTTTTGTATTGTGACATAATCGATATGGTGAAATTCTTGTCTTAAATAGAAGCAATTGAATGTATTAAATGTTTTTGGAAATTATATTTTTGTCACAAGTATTTGACTATTTTACATAAGGATACATTGATAATGAATGTATAGCTTATCTTTAAGTAGTATTGTTAAATATTATTTGTTCTTATATTTCTTTCTAATGAATAAACTTAAATTGTAATATAATGATTGAAATCATGAGTCAATTGAAGCTAGACAACCATGGAAAGCCTGGAAGCATTGATTTCAACTATTGCATCTCAGGCAGGTGGCTAAGTGGATAACGCGATAGCGTTTGAAGCGAACGGTACTGGGTTCAAGCCCCAGAATGAACAACTCTGAGATGCAGGTACATCCAGCTGACGAGTCCCAAATAGAACGAAACGCATGTCCTGAATTCCACAGCTAGCCACTATCCATCTTTGGTTTTAAAGCTGTGATAAATATTTGATGTTAAATTATAATGGTTGTGTATCTTAGTCGAGGTATTAGATGCGGATTTTTTCCATGACCAATAAAGAAAACAGGAATATTGAAAATACCTACAGGTTAACTCGTCTTCATTATACGATCTTGAATAAATATTTTGAAACTGTAATAATTATGCATCAGAGTCTGTAGTTATGTTACCAGAAAATACAGATACAATTTCCAGAATGGTAGTAGTATTTTCTCAAGGTGTGTAAATGAATCATTCTTTATACATACTGATGAATGTGAAACATGAATTTCATAATTTTCGTCAGATGCTTATACCAAAAGTTTCAGTTTAAAAAAAATCATTCTAATACAATCTGTGATCTTCTATAGTCGTTTGTTTTTACTTATTTTAGATTTCCTTCATGATTATTCTAACTTGTTAAACAAATGAACAATTTTAAACCGTTTTAAACAGACATACTTTTATACACTTTCATCTGTTTAGATTGTTTTACTATACAATGATTGTGTTGATCATTAAAGTTACAATTTATTAAAAAAGAAAGTAATTTAACGCCTAAATGTGTCGGGAAACAAAATAACATTAAGGGCATAATTCTGTTGTAATTTGTTTTAATGACTAACAAGGAAGAAAGTAGAAACTGATAATATTTAAACCTGTTATACTAGCTCGATAATGTTAGTTATTCAAAAGTTAATCACCTGTTCATATGATTATGGCTAAGTAAATTTGACAATTTCTAATTGTGTTCCATATTTTGTACCACCAACTGTTCTTGGTTAAATAACCCTTGAAAACCAAAAGGCATTGAACAGCTATTTCGTCCTAGTATGGAACTCAGCAGTAAGCATCTACTTCACATCTGTAGACCGAACTCATAGCCTGCGGTCTTGCATGCAAACCCTTAATCTCTTGACCACCGAGCCAAAATTTAGTAGTGTGTATGTCTAGCTTTAATCAACTTACGATATTCCTCGACCATCTATTGTTTTCGTTGAATTAATGTCTCATACCCGACGTGGTTATTAGCTTACAATTCAACCGACTAGCATTTTTGTTTTATTCTTCATTTAGTAAATATTACTTTCTACCATAGACACACATTTGTACTAGTTCTATTACTCTGTTTGGTAATTCCACTGAACATTCATTAAATCTTAGTCCACTTGTCAGTTTAGTGTTGTTAATAGATCGTACTTGATAGTTATTTATCTAGCAGTGTAAGTATTCACTTTGAAAATTGTTTTCCTCTAATTTAATCTTTTAAATACCTTCTAACAATTCCCCTAATTTACTCTTTCTATATTCATAAATCTAATTATGAACTCGATTAATTACATTCAATAAAATTTTTAAAAATCTTGATTTTAGTTCCACCTGAATTCTACCAACCATTAACTCATGAAGAACATGCTTTAGATGAAGACAGTTCCATTACACTAGATTGTGGTATTAAAAAGCGTTCAATTCCAGGAAGTATTGTCTATTGGGAAAAAGATCAACGTGTTTTAGAAAAATACACCAATAGTGTAAGTTTATAATTATGTAACCTTACAATCTATATTTACCGGCATATTTCACAATATAATGCGTAAATATATACCTCATGATACACAGATATTTAACAATTTCTATTATTATAATTTGTTTATGTAGTTGTCTGATGGTAAATGATACGATCTTACCGTATTGAGTAAATGGGGTAAGGAGGTTTGAACCTACAACATAAAGGCTGAAAGTCATATGTTTTAGTCACTTAGTTATCGCCCGGTTTCATTATTTAATAAGTAGTGTTATTGATTTAATTGCATAATTAGCTAGTCAGTTTACTTTTATCAAACAAATTAATTCTTCTCTAACATTAAGTAATAAATAAATTTGTTTAAAGCTTATGGCTTTAGAGAATAATGGTGAAACTTTACGATTTCCTGAATTGAAACCCGAAGATCAAGGTCAATACCAATGTTTCGTTCAAACAGATGGATATAAGGAAAGATGGTCTGGTCGTGAACAAACCTTAATTGTTAAAGGTGAGTGAGATCTCATGAACCATTTGGTTTTGAACGAGTTTTTCTTGTAAGTAGTACGTACATTTAAAATGCTTGAAAATCAATATATCGAAAACATTTAGTCATCATATGAGTAGGATTTCATTTTTACATACAGTGTTCTGTTGTTCTTGAATAACGTAACATTTCAGGCCATGACGTGATGTCTTCATAAATTCGGTTTTCGTATAAGAATGCTTTTTAAAATAACCTAATTTTGGTAAAAACTATTTACTTGAAAGAAGCTTGGTACAATTTGTATTGAAGCAGCAACTCAAGATTTAAAACGATCAACTTGTAGTCACTAAATTATAAGTTCAAACCCTTCTCCATATACTTTGGTTTGAGTAACCGAGCAGTATCAATAGAACACAGTGCACTCTTAAACATTACACTTTCATTTCAAAAAGGCAAAATACGTTTTTTTAAAAATATGTTTTCGTTTGCCTGATATGTTTTTTCTAACCTTATCGACATTCATTTACTTAATATGCTTAATGTCTGATTGCAGTTCCTCATTCACAATAGATTACTTTCAAATTGGTTTAACAAATTTAATGAGTGAAGAACTATGACACCCAGACTACTACACATAAACTTGTCAAAAACCATGTTATGTGAACCTATACGAATCATGAGTTCTCTACTATTGTGATGCAATGATAAATGGTGTTATAAAAACCTCTTCCTTGTGCTCACCGTTAGAGAATAAAAAAGTTTGTTCAACCGAATTCATAAGCACGCTCTGTATTATGTCTATCATATAGAATCCACCACTTTAAAGATGATGTACCTGAGAAACATTGTTAACGAGGACACATAAGTTCACTAAATAATAACTATGGTTTTTGTGTAAATCCTCAACATTGTGTTCAAATAATAAGCATGAACAACTATGTTTATTGGGAAAAAACTATTAAAGAGATTGATTCTCACCTTTTTTGACATCAAAATTTATAAATGCTATGACTTTATATTTATAAAAATATAAAAAAATAGTTAATTAATATGATAATCGAAATGCAATGAAAGGTTTTAGTCATTGTGTAGTGTACGCTACTGCTTTTGACAGATATAAGTAGTATGAAACACCAATCGGAAGTGTAAAGCCTGACAGCAGAAGATTGTAGTGCAGAGAACAAGAAGGAAATCTGAAAACAATCGAAATAACAGAATTGAAAGAACTATTGGGTGTATATAAGATAACACAAAGAAGAAGTGCATGTAGTGTGTGTTTAATGTGTATTTAATGTATGACTTTCATGTTTTATTAACCCACTGTGTGATTTTGCGTCAAACAACAAATTTGTTACCCCAACTGTCTTCGTTCACTTCAATCGTTCTTCTAGTGATAATAATGAACTATGTCTAGACTGTTTGGAAACTGATTATTAATTAATACACTATATGCTAATCACCTTGACGCACTGGTCCAAATACGTAAGTACAACACTTATCTAGAAATACAAACTCTTAGAATGTGATAATAACTCTCCTCGAAGAACAACCAATCAAATGCACTTTACAGTTGTTTCATAAAGCATACAGCACTTTTATGAATGATAGTTACTCAGCCTTTTATCTGTGTTTTTTTTCTTTTTACTCTAATTATAGCTAAACTGCAATTTTTACGTGAATTTCGTGAACATTTTCTTGAAATTAATATGCAAGGACGAATACCATGTAAAGCTAGAGGTTATGGTACAGTGACTGTTGAATGGTTTCGTAAAGTTGGTCCACATTCTAGTGATTTGCAAAGAATTCACCCACCTAATCAAGTAGAAGGCGGTACTTTAATTATCCATTATGTACAAAAACATGATGCCGGTGATTATGTATGTATAGCTAAGTCAACATATAAGAATGCTCAAATTAATATGACCGTCAGTGTTATTGTTGGAGGTAAGTTTAGTTGTTCACTGTCTTATCAGAATTTTCATAGCAATAACTGAGTATTTATTAGCTCAGCCACGGTTGTTGTTTAAAATTGATTGCTAACCATACTGTATAGTTAAATCTGATTTATTAATTACCTAAAACATAAATTTTGAGCCAATATACTAGCGTTTTATTTATCTACCGCCCATTTTCAGGTTTATATTAATTGAATAACATTAAACGCACTACTTTGACTAGTTACAATGCTTGTACTCTGTTTATGGTAAATATGTTTGTGAACACCTATATATATATATATATATATATATATATATATATATATATATATATATATATATATATATATATATATATATATATATATATATATATATATATATATATTTAACGAAGGCAAATCATTATAGTTCTGTTACTTAACATTTTTTTCCAAAAGGATAACACTTCCTATCTTGGAAGCCATTCAATGAAGATAAAGAAATCTACAATAAATTTTCTAGTTGAATAGTCTTTTCCAAAATATTGATTTTTTATTTATTTAAGTACTTTTTCCTCCCGACCAAAAGTGCCTGTTTAATGCTACATATCAGTCAGTCAGCTACAACGTAGGACCAGGCGCATATATGCATCGATCGAAGTTGCCATACCTCATTAGCACAACATGACGAACACCGGATTCATAAAAACTAGTTAAGTCAATGGTTGTAATATATAAAAGAAAGGTTGCAATAAGGATATAGTACAGGAAGAAAGAATTAGTTCGTAGAAAGAAAGATTTCAATCCCATAGTTTAAGGAAAGACAGAGAGTGTATACACCGACGCCATTGTGATCGATTCTGAGTCATGTCATACCTAGTCTCCAGCCATCGGTTACGATAGTCACACTGACCCCAACCAAGTAGTCTGCATCTACCAACGTGGCTCAGACTAGAAGTTAGTGACTTCAAGCACTGATGCCACGTTTTGGTTTGGCATCATTACTTTCTATAGACTCCAATAAAAGTTTTTTCCTTTGAAATATTTATACCTATCGTACTTATGCGCATTTTGACATTCTAGCCAGTAATATACTGATGTTCATTCTAACTAAATATTTTTGAGAGTTCTTTAAAGTCATGCAATTCATTCGACTGACTGTTTTACTTATTGTTTTCACATTATCTCGATATGATTGATTAGAAACTGAATGATTATAGAATATCAAGTTCAAACTGGCTAAAGATAATAGACAATTAAGTATAATATGAGTGGTGATTTGTTTATTTATCCTCATAATTGAAAATTTTAATACCTTAGTTAGTATGCATATTGAATAGATAATATATTGTGTAGTAGCAAGTTATTATTAAGATAAATCAAACTATTCTCATAGATTATATTTGAGATTCATTTTTAAAAAAACCTATAAACCCGTTTATATTCAGTATATTAATTATTTACCTATAAATAAGTAATTTATATCCACAGAAGGAGGAAAAAGATTTTATTCATAAGTCATATCCATTATTTACAATCTACTTTATTGAATACATTATCGTACATTTTGTCTTATAGTCAAGTTGACATTCACAATTTTTGCAAATAATACATAAATCATATTATTTCAATTTATCATTTTTTTTTATATTCCTCTCATTTGTTACTTATATGTATATAAAGATTTGTCGGTCTTCTATATTCTGGTAGAGTTTAAGTTTGAATTCCATTTAAGATTAATGATGTAAATTGTAATTAGAAAATGACTGACGAAGATTATACTACCAGATAATTTTATAAGATAAATAAATGATCGTCTGGTTCATTCTTATTTGAGCTTACTAATTCATTTACACATACTTTATCACTTTTTAGCTTGTTTGTTCGTTTCCCAACTTTTTTTTTCATCCTCTACAAACTATTTTTCATTCGTTTTTGTATTGTATATGTATAGATAATTATTTGATGAATTGTCTTTTTTCTTCTTCTTCAATGTTTATCAGTAATCGTAACATTTCCGAAGTCTCATATTACACTGTTAATCTTTTCTTATTCCCTGTTGTAAGCATTCATTTTCTTGTTCTCTATTTCGTTTTAAGCTTTTTTTAAAAAGTTCTTTCTTTGTGTTCCTATCTGTCGCTATCTCACTCTCTCTCACACACACATACACTCTTGATAGCTTAGCATTTCCACGTTTACACCATTGTGATAATTTCAAGAGTAATCAAGAGAGATAGTATGTATATGCGTGTGAAAAATCAATAAACTTATATGCATTTTCTTTGTGAAGAATTTTCGTTTATTTCTTATCCGTGAATGTCGAATTTTCATACTTTTTCAATATCATCTTTTTGTTTCCGCTTTACAAAGTTGATTTATGAACATTTGGCTACTCGTTTGGTTATTTTTTATGTATTTTGGTGTCTTATTTTGACCAGTTGAGTTGATATAAATAATTACATATATACACATACATATCTTATTTGATACCTGAAATTTTCTATAAGTACTTACTACTTTTTTATAGGAGAAACTATACCAAAAAAGATTATTACTACCACCATCCTTAACCGCTCTCAGTCATCACCTAGTCATTCAAAATGCTACTTCTCCCATATTTGTATATAGTGTGTGTGTGTGATTCGCTTAGTTTCGGCTTTCGTTTACATCTACGATCTTTAACAGACTTCCACTCTCATAAATCATCGTCATTTTCACTTTCGTAACAAAATAAACAAAAAATCAGGCAGTGTTATAACAATAGAGACAGCTAGTATATATATATATATATATATATATATATATATATATGCCTGTATGCATATATCGTTGTATTATCTTGCACACAGATTGTGTATTAATGAGTGTGTTGATGTTCTTTTTTGTGTTTATGTGTCCATTTCATATGGATGTAGTTGGACACAGACTTTTGTGTAAGTACTTATATGTCTATTATGTATATGTTTTCACAGTGGCCTAATTTTTTTCTATAGCTAAATATATATTTATAAAAATGTTACTTTGTTTGTTCCATATAATATCTATTTACAGTCAATGTAATAGTTTTAGATATATCCCGAAAATGACGAAGAATTTTTTGGAATTGAAAGTCTTTAGGTATAATTCCAATCGTATGATAAAATGTAATAAAGAAATATGGTTTATTAAAAATCTCTTGTTGTATTCTTTTCACAATTCATCAGTTAACTGCATGTATCCCCTCTCTTCTCCCAGACAAAATTTGTTTGTTTTCCTACTGAGAGTTAAAATACACTAGTCTTATATCCCAAGTTACTGAGTTAAAAAAATCAATCGATGTATAACAAATTACATTTCTAGCTGCAATTAGTGTAATTCATTAAAAGGTATATGAAGCCCCTTAAATAACCCAATAGTAGCATTTCTTTAAAATCTTGAATCGACTTATGTTAGAAAACCATTGAAAACCTAGAATTACTAAATTTCCGTCTCGTCTCAGTATAGGACTCTTCTGCAATACGCATCCATTACTCCTTGTAGTAACTTAGCTTCGTTCATCAATCACCGTGGTAACCGTTATCATATAAATCCCAAAGGTGTTTGAATTCGGAAGTCAATAAGGTACGGCAACTACATTTTATTAGTGGATAGCCCCGATAATCAAGTTAGAAGCACATCGAGCAAATTGTAGCAATGAGGCTAATATGTTTGTGCTAGCAAACGCAGAAGCAAACTTATAGTCAGTTCGAATCAAGGCACAGCTAGGCATGACAAAGGCTATTAAAAGGATTCGAACACGTATATACGTGGAAGGGAGAATGATTGATTGAGCGACGTTTAATCGAATAACATTTAAGCTAGAGAGAGTAGGCTGTCACATGTGATCAAGCGCACACATTTATACAGACATGATAGAGACCATAATGATGCAAAAAAATAACCGAATTATTACTGTTCGAATAATAGTCTGTTAAATTAGTCAGTAAAGGGGCTTGACAAAAATTATTCGTAATCGAAGTTAATCGTAGGAGTGTTGCTCTATTCTCTTCCAGCTTTTCAATTGCTATCTAGCTTAGATTGAACCATGGTTTCAGTAAAATTCAACAGTTTAAACAACCCCATACCGCCAGTAATATTTCCATCTGAGATATTGAGAGAGCTTAAAGCGTTTTTAGGTTACTAACTTTATTTATAGTTTCAAATAGATTATTAGTGATGATTTTGCTATAGCGTGAAACGTATACCTCTTGTTTCTTCACATTTACACTCAACCATCTCAATATAACTACTGACAAATGACATTAACCATAAATTAATGTTATTCGAACTATTTGAAATCAAACATTACTAAACGTGTATTTTCTTCACTAACTCCTCTTAAAACTGAATTCACATTCAGTCATGCTTTAATCAATCAACTAATCTAATACACAAATTCACGATGACTATTCTTTCTTGATTTAGTGGAATAAAAAGGATTATCTCACATTTTCTGAGTAAAGTTTTTCTCGTCAATAAAATTAAACTGTCTGTTGTTTTTATTTTAATTACTATTCTAATTGCAACACCATAACATTTACTGTTTTACTACTTCATCTGCCTCTCATCTTCTATTCCTCTCGAGTTAAATTCTCTTCGATTCAATTCCCCCTTTTCTTCTTGTTCCGTGGTTTTTTTCATTTGTTTAGTTTGTTTGTTTTTATGCCTATAACTATGTTTATGTACTTAGACACATATTCATCATTATTGCACCGATTGAGACCGATGTGTCAACATGAATTATTATTATTATTATTATTATTATTATTATTATTATTATTACGGCTGATGGTATTTTGTTATTCTTTTATATTTTCACTTCTTTAGAAATCAGCTATTTTGACCTGATTCTGTTTGTTTATTTTAAGTCTAGAAAAAGAAACAAATCCCAGCTCGTAACGATGATAATAATGGTTACAGCTATTAATATTATTATTATTAATGCTAATACTAATAATGTTAACAATATGGTTAAGATTTTGTTTTACCTCATTGTTTTGATGGTACCTATCTTTTCAGAAAGCTATAAATTTTAAACTATTTTTTTACCTGAATCTGGGGTAAGGGGTTTGATTTATACCTTTACGTGTGTTTGTATATATATATATATATTCTTGTGTATGTTTAACTGGTCAGTGTTTATATTTGCTCATACATCAGTTGTTATGTTTTGTCTTGTTTATACATCTGCACATATGACTTTTTATGTAAATATTACCACAATTAATTATGTTTAAATAAACCTGACAGGTAGTTGTGTAGTTTGTTGTAGTTTGCATTTTTGTTGTATTTTTTCATGAAACCTTAAGAAAAAACGAAACAACATACCAAAACAACTTTAGAAACTAAGCTGGTAACTCATCAAGTAAATACACAATGTTATTTTAATAAAACAATATTTTAAAAAAATATATATTTGACAGTTGTTCAAGAAAATTCTCATTCCCAATAAGTTTAGCATCTATGATTATCATCACCAGCACCATAGGCAACATCAATTTTATCATCATTCATTAAGATCTTTGAAATGTTATTCTGTACTATTTTGTTTCCTTAAGTTTTCTCATTAAACAATGTAACACTTTGAATTTGTTTGTTTCAAATATCCTACTACTTTTTTTTTTCCTTTTTAATAGTTTCCTTGATTTATTGACTCATTGAATTCTTCTTCTGGTTAAATGATCATAATTTCTGTGAGAAAAAAGTTTTCATTGTATCATTTAAGTCTTGTAAAAATATGTGCTAATTGAATGAGTTTCTTAACTAACGTGAGAAGTCACTTAACTATTTTTTTTCTGTTTTCTAACAACTGTGATTTATTCTAAACAACAAATAATGAAAAAATAAATAAACAATACAATACAAATGTCTTTATATTACTTTTCCATTATATAATCCAATCACTCACTGAAAATCATTCAGGATTAAATTGTTTTCTGTTATAATACAGTTACATAAACGCCTGATCTGAGGTTGAGCTCTTAAAGATAATGAAAAATAGAATATGTGCACATACGGTGATACTTATATTTGTTTCATATTCACTATAAATTCAGTTATGATTAACTTGAATGAGCAGTATTCATACTATAACAAAATGTCTACTCAAATCATTTTTGATATATCTAATTGTTGTTCTGAATAATGCTGTTCTGTTTTTTTAAAAATAAACTATTGCTTTCGTCATAAAACGTACTACTAGTGAGTAGTCCAAACATATTTCAGCAAAATTAGTACTTGAATTCATGAGTTAATTGAAGCTAGACCACCATGGAAAACGTGGAACCACTGGAAAGCCGTTTCGTCCTATTGTGCGACTCCTCAGCAGTGTGCATCCACAATCCCTCCTCGTGAGATTTGAACCCAGGAGCTATGGGTCTCACGCACTAACGCTTAACCTCTAGACCACTGAGCCAACATTTAATATAATATTCGCAAAACCCCTCTGATAATATTTCAGTAAATATATTTAGAACTTTTTTTTGCCTACCAACTTTACCTATCTCAAACATTATCTTAAATTACTATATAGTTTTCCTGAGTTTTTAAAATGTTTCTTTAGAAAATAGAATTAAGAAAACCATATAATATAATGAAGTCTTCATTCTATTACTGTAAATCATTAATGTACTCACTGAAATCCGTTGTTCTCTTATAGAGTTTATATATATACTGAGAAATTAAACTTACCATAAAATTAATTTATTTTATGCTCAACGTAACTTTGCAGTTCATTATTGTTTACTCTGAAAGGAAACAAACATTTTATTTGACTGATCAATATATATCAAAATGTGGATATAACCACCAAATATTCAGATAGTTTACAGATAGAATATGCCTTCTATAATTTTTTTAAATAGCTAAGTAATAATTATGAAAATAAATAGTAATAGCGGCCAGACTATAATTTATGGACGAACCAATCAGATGTAAGATGTTAGATCAGTTAGGAGGCATAATTATTCAGTTCAAATAAATCTAAACAAGGACGGTTAGTTTTAATTTTTCTTAGTTTATAAGCAGCACGAAATGCTTAAATAGACCACTAAATGTTGAATCCTTCAAATGACTAAGTTCTTTACAATTCATTTGTGAAAGTTTATACTGTTCATGAGTTCCACACTAAGAGCTAACAGTTCACAGTAGTTGATCAGCTCGTTATAAAACTTGTTTCAAGTCAGTCAACTCTATAAAGTAAACAATTTTCACCAAATCATTAAGCTTGATATTGGTTGGTTACGGACAGTCAACATAGAGCACTGATTTTGTGCAATTTATTATCGTCCAACAAGGTTCACTTGTCCTCTATGGGATTCAGATCCATCCCACCCAGATTTCCAATCAAAAAGCATTACCAAAAGTAGCGATAAGATCAAACTGTCTACTCTGTTAATGTAATGGAATTCTATATAACTGTGTTCAACATCATACTGTAATTTATTTGTTCTAAAATGACACTTTAGAGAAAATGAATTTTGTTAATTTTCTATTTTTTTGAATATGAAATGGAAAACTAGTCCACTAGAGCTTGCTAAACAGGAGTCATAGTTTTTTAATTAATTCAATAGCATCTCTGTTTTTTGTAATGTCATACATTGATAGTTCCAAATAGTGGAGGTTTTTTTCTTCGTTTCAGCAAATCTTTCATAACACTTTACTATTCATTCTTTTATTCTACATAGAAAAACCTCAAATATCACAAATCAGTGCAAACCAAACAATTCGCGTCGGTAATCAAGTTATACTTAATTGTCATGCATCAGGTGATCCACATCCGCAAATTAGTTGGATAGTTAAAAAACCCGGTTATAAAATTCCAAGTGTTTATACTCCATTAGTTGATAATGAATTACTAATTCCCCAATCTACTGATTTATCTGATTCAAGTCGATCAGCTGATAATCATTTACAAGAACAACAATTTCTGCAACCACCACAGTCTAGTTCAAGTTCTTCATCAGTTTCGATTGATCATAATTTAAACAGTGCATCTACCGCAGATGCTGTTGTAGCTGCAATTTCAAGAAATATGCAAACAAATGGAGGACGTATAACAGCGTTTTCAAATGGTAGTTTAATTATTAAACAAGTGCATTTATCAGATCAAGCTGAGTATATATGCGTTGCCGGCAATAAACATGCTATCAAAACTCGTCAAGGAGTATTTGTCAGAGTCCTCAGTGAGTATTTATCTTAAGCTACTTTTTCATAAATTCAGAAATTATCAGTTAACTTTAAATTCTCACTTTTATTATGAGCAACATTTTTCATTAGATGATCAAGAAGATTTGTAGCTCAAGTGAATGATAATGGTGTAGATTTGTTCTCTGAGCTGTATGGTTTGTTGGTGGAGCTTTCATCGTTATTGTGAACGATACCATTAGCACAAACTTCTCTAAAGAAATCTCTTTAGCGAAGGCAAATAAGAATGACGAAAATAGACAGCCTTGATAAACATAACTTGATGTTATCAACTGTGATAAGTTCACCATAAGCTTTAATTTAACCAGTAACATTCGAGAAAATGGCCTTTCAAGGTTTATATACTATTTCGGTACGTCTCCCAACAACCGATAATATATACAGATCAATTAAGACTTTCTGTAACTTGTTTGTTTGAACATTTTTGGAATCCGATATATTGTCATACTTCTTTTTATTTAAGTTTTGCCTAAAGTTCACTAATGACTTTTACTCTTATTCAATTCAATCAAGTACATAGTTAACTTCCCTTTAAATTAGAAAAAAACTGCAAACGAAAAGGAACACTACGAATAAAAAAAATTGTATTGATATATGAAGGAAATTTTAAAATTGTTTCTAACATTTTAACGTTTAAGCGACAACAAACTTGAGTGTACGATTGAAAAGACTGTTCACCTATAGCACTCAATATCTAACTCATTTTAAATATTATTTACTTATCAACAATGTAATATCACAGAATATATGATTCATCTATAGAGTAATAAATATATTTCCTGTACTACATATCTATTAACCGTTGAAATATGAAGCATATTATAGATTGAAAGATTGAAGCACATTAAATGCTATTTTCATTTCTCCCCAACTATTGAGGCATATTTTTAAAAAAAATACTAATAAATTATTCATTGTTTGTTAGAAAACATTTGTTTACAAGAATGAAATTCATGTATAAGCTTACAGTAATCTAAATATAACTGCATAGATTAACAGTAACTATATATATAGGTATATGCATTTCCAATAGCCATGCATCTGTACTGTTTTTATTCAGATTATTCTTTACTTCTATTGTTTACTTACTGACATTTTAGTATTTGTTTGTTTATTCGTGTTTTTTGTGCGTATTTATTCGTAATATTATTCAGCTCCGGAAGAATATACTCGACAACAACTTGGTGAAGATGGTACAAATACTGGTATGATGAAAACTATTTTTATAGTAGTTGGATGTGCAGTTGCCTATTTAGGCTTAATTATTGGATTAACAACATTCTGTAGTGTTCGTATGGTACGTACTCGACGTAACCGATCACGTAAAAGTGGTAAGTCTATAAGTTGAGAATTAACTCATTAATCATTTCTTTGATGTGATATTATGTATTTTGTTATTATAATTGTTGTTGATGAAAAGGAAGATGATTCACTCCTGTCATTCCATCTACTCACCCAATTATTTACATTTATTTCAATATACGTCAGCATAATTGGATATTACTACTACCACTACTGTCTTCCACAAGCAAGATTCGAATGTTAGTTTTTTTTCATGTTTCTATCATATTACAGTTAAGGATTTATGTTTTGACCAATTCTAAATGTATTTGGGCTTTGTTTGTTTGTTTCGTTGATATTGTTATCTTAAGAAGCTGTTTTCATACTTTCATTGCACAAGATATATAAATACATATATATACTTCAATTTCATAAGTTTCATATTTTTTTATATAAAGAATGAGAAAAATGTCTGGTTTGACCTGACGAAAACGGAATCAAAGAAAAGATTCATATTTCTCCCCCCCCCGTAATTTTTAGTGATTAATGAGATTTTTTAGTTTTCTCAAGAAGACCGAAACATCAAAATAATCAAGCACAAGTTATGGGTAATGAAATGTGTATCAAATAATAAGAAAGTGCATATATAAACAGAAAGAAAACAAATTTAGCATAGTATATATTTACCTCTTAAATGTTTAGACTGTCTTATTTATTCATAAAGAAAGAAAAAGAAAACATTCATTCAAATTTTATTAATAAATCATTTAACAAATGAAGAGAAAAAAAAAATAGTCGTTAATCAAAACAGAATCACTTGTTTTAACTGGCAATAAAAACTAAAGATTTATTATGATATATGATTAGTGTTTGTATAGATTTCTGTTGTGTTTGGTCAATTATTACTCGACTCTCTTCTTCTCTTCATGTAATAATATAAATAAATATAACATTATTAATGATTATATTCACAGGGTGGTGGGTAACAATGATATATAAAACATAAATACCTTAGATTCATGTATATAAAATACTCATAATCATAAATGCATCACGTTTTTCAGTAAATATATATATATATATATACCCCCATCTTGATGTTTTGTTACTTAGTAAATTTACTAAATCTTAAACAAACAAGTCAGTTCATAAGAATCTTGTCTTTGTTCTAAATTTTTTGATTATCTTGATAAAATGTAAACCAACATGAAGGAATATACAAGAACATTTCCGTCTAATAGTTTGTTTGTTTGTTTTTCTTATTTAAAAAAGTAACAGGCTAAACAAGATAAATAGTTTTGATTTCTCTAAGGAATTAGACAGTGTTATGATTTTTATTTTATACATTATGAAGAGCCTGTCTCATGTTTATTGTATTAAAATTTTAATTACGATTATGAATCATTATGTAGTAACATAAGTGGATTCAATATTGGTTAGACAAAAGAAAACAAGATCAACAATTAAATTTTGTACTTATAGGATTAATCATAAAAAGAAGAGGTCAGTTTTAAAACTCTTCTAGACATATATATTTGGTTACTATAGGAAGTGAAATTGTGGAGATTGTTGAATTTTATTGTACACCTCACAAACTGATTTGAATTAAACAACTATTAGAAACAAGGAAGCCAGGAAGGAGTCCGATACTAGAACGAAATATCTGTCCAATACCTTCTAGTTTTCAAATGTTCTTTACCAAAGGTTTGTCCATGATATAGACCACAAAATTTAGATTTGAAAACCAAAGAAATTGATTTAATTATTTATTCTTCAATTAATAAAGTTTGTCTTGTCAAATTCACCAACATATGAAGAAGTGACACTGAACCCTTTAATGTTCATAGGCAATATTAATATAATTAACTTACCCTCATCCGATTCGGAACACTATTCTCCTCTATCTAAATACTCTAATTAACAGAAGCAGTCGTTTATGGACTATTAATTTCATCAGCAATCTATGTATGATTTCAAAAGTTGTTTTGAATTTAATATTTTTTTCAAATGACATTATATATTTAAAGAATAGTATACACTTACATATATTTATTCGGTTTAAGATTGTTACAGTTCATTAGAAAAAGTCAGTGAAATCTGATTTTCGTCTCTTTGTAATTAGGTGGCAAGTTACATGAAAATGGTCAATTACTTAATCCTTTGAATGATCCTAGTAATCCTAATGGTGGCAAAAGAGGATCACAAGGAAGCGGCGGGGGTGGCGCTGGGACTGGTAATATGGAGTGTGGTTTATTATTAGGAGGCGGTTGCACATCGGGGATAAATACAACTGCAAATGCATCTCTTAGTCAACTACCTCATTATGGTCGCCCCGTGTTGACTAGTGCATCTGGCACACGAAGTGGAACAAGTTATCCTGATAGTGGTACTTTACCACATCCTTTAATGTGCACAGAACCTGGGTCAAATCAGAGGCCAAATATTTCAGTAAATGATACGAAATGCTGGTGGCCTATAAGTGACAATGCATACTATGGACAAAACGATGCTCAAGCCAAACTACTACAGTCAGCCGGTGCTGCCGGACCAATAGATGGATTCGCTAATCCTTTGACAGATATTGGAGATCTTAACGGTCACTCATATGTCCATGGACACTCTATGATGAGTCCGTCATGTAATCTTATGTTTTCGGCGCACAAAGGCACTAGTACGGGTGTGGCTAGCAGTACAATTGCTACAACTACATCTGAATCACATCTTGTCTCTGCACCACCACCAACTCCGCTTGATTCACGATCACATTTTAGTGGAGTATCTTCTGGTAATTCAACTAGTTTGTACTCTCGTTCCCTTTTAAGTGGTGCTTCTAATTTCGGATCACCTCCCAATCAAATGGCTTCACATGTGAATAGCTTGAATCAATATGATCAGTCAAATGCATTGCACACTATTAGTCAAACAGATCGTATGAATTATCCACGTTGTGAACTACAAATGGAAGGAATTCTAGGTTTGTTTATGATTTTATTTATTCACTATTAATTATAATATAAAGAGATTCATTGAAATGTTTTCTGTTTCATAATGATTTTAAATCAGTTCGATTTTCATTAGTATTTTGAAGTCGAATGAAGAGATGCAAAATAAAGCAGTCTTCCTTTTCGTGAGCTGTAAATTGCGCATATTATTAAATTATTTTAATTTAATCCAACTCTTTAATGAAAAACCTGTTCATATATTTTGGGCTGAATTCCTGTATGAGAACTACTGATATTATCCGACTTCTTGAACCGGTGGAAGTCATGTAAAATATGAACATGATACCTAAAGACTGATATTTGTGCTTAAACCAGCAAGCCACTGTTATACTGTATGTATATGACATTGGCCAACTAATACTCATTACGACTTCTATTCTGCAATGTATTAGTTAGTTCAAGAAATTCTCAGTTTCAGACTCATCTTTTCACAGAATGTAGTCAAAGATGTAAACAGGTGTACCGACGAACACGTATTACATTCGGGAAGTTTAAGTCATATAAAATTTAGAACTTGACTTGTGTTTGTAAAAAACAATTTCTTAGGTTTATAGTTCTCTCTTAATTATTCTTCTCGCGTTCATATTTCACTACATTTGCTAAAATGTGTATATCTTACACCATTATTATTAAAATGGTTTTTAAACAGAATTCTTGATTGTCACTAACATTTACGTACTTCTGTTACCCCCAATGAAGCATAGGCCGATGACCAGCACTCTCTAACCCACTTTGTCCTGGGCCTTCCTTTCTAGTTCTATCCAATTATTGTTCATTCGTCTCATATCTGTCTCCGTTTCCCGGTTCAATGTGTATTTTGGTCTTGTTCTTCTCCTTTGACCTTGAAGGTTTCAAGTGAGGGCCTGCCTCGTGACGCAGTTAGCTGCTTTTTTCAATGTTTTTGCTTATCCACATTGTCACTAACACATCTTTATTGTAAGCAAATGATAGCTGGTCGTTGTTCAGTATGACAGTTATGTTTCTCATGCTTCATATATTTCCTTTAATAGCTATTTGTTTGCTAAAAATTATGAAGTCGAATTCCACATTACAACTAATCAAATTCTAACAAACTTACAATTACTTATTGACATATGACTTATCATATATATACGATTGTAAAACTTTGAAAATAAAAAATATATGATTATATATACTGACTGATTCGAGGATAGCTCTACGCATTCATTAGTGTCTACAATCGAGGTGACTTGTATTTTACGGATTTGGAAATAAAGTTTATTTTCACAGTAAGGCATAGCTCTGTTTATTAGCTCAATAAATTAGTTGAATCATTGAGCTGAAATTAATTTGTTGCACAACATCTTGCTTTCTGTATAAAATGAGAGCCCTGACCCATTTTAGTGTCAAGTTCATAATTCCTTACTGCTGAAAAGTTCCAAACCAGTAGGAATCAGGTATTTATCATGCTTCATTATGAATAATTCTCGAGTTAATATCACTCCATTTTTAAAACCAGACCCGTGTTTCGCGCTACTTGGTACTCGTCAGCAAGGTGTACCTGTAATCTTGAGGGAACTGGTGTTCCCCGACGGACTCGATCCCGTGTCACCCAGCTTCACAGTCAGAGACGTTACCACTGATCAATCTGAGTCGCTACCAACCTCCTGTAAGACTGAGATGTAACTACAATTGATTGATCACTGGGTGGTGATCAATGTCGTGTGTGCCAAGTCCTTCTTAGTATAGATCGAATGCTATCGCCTAGTGGTAACGCCTCTGACTGTGAAGCAGAGTGACACGGGACCGAATGCGTCAGAAAGCACCAGTCCCCTCAAGATTACAGATACACCTTGCTGACGAGTACCAATTAGCACGAAACCCGGGTCCAGGCTTTCTTATTGACTACCTCCAACCACCATATTATCTCAACATGGTGCACGCAGTGTCGAGTCACCTAGACTAGTGGCCACATTGCAACTTGGTCGATAGCATTCGATCTGCACTAAGAAGGACTTGACAAACATGACATCGATCACCACCCAGTGATCAATCAATTATGACTATTTTTCTAAATACTTTGGTCAAAACTGATGTATAATATTGGATGTATGAAACCTTTCATTTCATTCCTAATGCATTTGGATAATCAGCAAATAAATATTTTTTATATGACATACCACTTAACAAACATAACATATTCAACTCTATAGTTTCAATTAACTCTTAAAAAACTGATTGTAGACCATTTTATCATTACTGATATTTATCAGGGATAAAACAATAGTCATAAGTTCACAATTGTAATGAAGTTTTAACTTGTTTTCAGAATATTTGAAATATCTTCATCTGTTTCAAATGCTTATTAAGAAAATATCAGTCATATATCATATATAATAAAATGGCTTTGTTGTTTTACAGGGAAAGGTGAGTTCGGTGACGTATTCTTGGCACGTGCTCGTCATATACAAGAAGGTGAAGCCCAATCCTTAGTATTAGTCAAATCATTGACTTCATGTGATTCAGTACATATTAATGAGTTTCATCGTCAATTAGAATTGTTTGGTCAGTCTGATCATGATTATGTTACACGTTTATTAGGGGTATGCATGGAACAAGAACCATTCTATATTTTGTTAGAATATTGTGAATGGGTAAGTATAGATTCGTTATCACTTAAGTCTTTGGGTGTATTTCAACTAAGTTTGAATAATTTGCAATACTTCAATTCATGGTTAATTGGACCAATAAAAATGATATAGGACTAAAAAATAACTGGTTTAACGAAAAAGTAGATTTATTAAGAAAATCGATAAATTGTAACCTCTGAAGATGTTTTTCATTATGAAATGATACCATTTGAAAGACTAATGTGCACTGAAGAAGTCACAGTTTCGAAATCCCTAGTAATGTACACGTATAATTTGCACACACTACCACATGTCATGTACTTTGTTGAAATGTGATATTAGTTCCTACTGAGTGATATAAAAGTGTGAAAAAATCGGTTCTATAAGAGGTCAATTGGATCTTAATTTGCTCAGTGGTAACGTCTTGTACCACTTGATAAGATGGGTCGGAATAGCACGACGAGATTATGTTCCCATAATTTTACAGATACTTTTTACTGATATTTACTAACCAGCATAGTACCCGAGTACAGGGCTTCCTGCTGATGGGCTCTAACCACGTAACATTAGAACATAGTGCATTGAGTGTCCAGTCCTCAAGACTAGTGCATCTATCACAATTTTATCAATAGTTCGATCAGTACTAAAGACCAAATAAAAATGACGTTAGTTACTACTTTTTAATTAGTCAGTAGAGCAAAAACTATTCATTGGAAATAGATTTTGTACTAGTTAAGCTAACTGTGGAAATAACTTGAGTATTTAATTATCTTAATCATATTGGTACGTTGTCTTTTTAACTAACCATGTGAAATGGATCGCCAGACAGATGAATAATTTCCCATTCGTACTAACAGCCAAATAAAAAAGATAGTTTAGACGTTTGTTAGAATTTAGTAAGCCTATTTGGTTGCATGCATATTGTATTTAAGCTTTAATTTAGTAGAATCTTGACGATAAATGATGATCATTAAAAAAAAGCCAACCGATAATAAATGACGTCATGGTTCGCATTGTACATTTAATTTAGAAAAAACGTTTCTGTTTTTTTCTGTTCAACTTAAATGAAGTATAGTTTTCCTGTTTGGATCAAATGCTGTAAGACCGTAGTTCTTAATACTTAGAAAAGATAATATCATATTAACTGTTGTTTCTTTTAAATAAACAATTATCTAAATGGCTAGCAGTGGAATCTAGGACGATCGTCTTGTCCTATTTGGGACTCGTCAGCTAGGTGTACCTGCATTTCTAAGATGATGTCCACTCGGGGAATCGAACCCAGTACCATTCACTTCAAAAGCCATCGCGTTACCACTCATCTACTGAGTCACGATAGCCACTTGCTAGTTTAATGAGGTGAATTTAAATTCGCTCGGTAACGTTTGCTTGAATCTTCCGATTGATGTTTAAGACTGCAATTGATCAGTCTGTTATTGGCATATGTGCATACTGTGCGTATTGCATTGATATTGCCATATTTCAAATGCTTTATAAGCGAATATAGATTAAGGCAATACACACAATATCTACATATACCAATAACGGACTGATCAATTGCAATCTTAGACCTCAACGGGAAGATTCAAGCAAACAATACCAAGTGAATTATCTAAATGGTTTTTCACAAATCCATTTTTGATTCATTCCCTGCATTACCTGTCATGTAGAAATTAATCCCAGTTTGTATGACTTTCTATTTCACAATTACCAAAACAGTTCTATTATATGTGGTTACTATCAATAAATGAATTAATCAACTAATTTCCGATTATTCTCTTCTGATTAATAACATTTTATATGTTTTCCCCATTATTTTTTAGGGTGATCTAAAACAATTTTTACGTTGTATGCGTGAAGAGAATTCAGCATCACTTAAAATGCCACATTTAACTTGTACACAAAAGATGAGTATATGCAAACAATTAGCTCTTGGTATGGATTATTTAGCTCATATGCATTGTGTTCATCGTGATTTAGCAGCTAGAAATGTACTCTTAACTCAAGGTTTAGAAGTGAAAATATCAAGTCTTGGCTTAGCTAGAGATGTTTATGCAAATGAATATTATCGTTTACCTAATACAGAGCAATTCATACCATTAAGATGGTTTGCACCAGAACTTATTCATGAAATAACAACTAATACAACAATGAATACAACTGCACGACATGTGTCATTATGTAATGGACATGAAAATAAATCACTGAAACAATTAGCTAATCCAGCTATACCCTATTCTACACAATCCGATGTTTGGGCATTCGGTGTATTAGTTTGTGAAGTCTTTTCATTAGCAGCACTTCCTTTAGCTAGATTGTCTGATCAAGAAATTATTGTTGCTGGTCAACGAACAGCTATGCTACTAAGTAACACTAGTGGTTTTACTAAATCAAAACTTAACACTACCGATTCATCACCATTGAAACCGGATTTAGTTGCTGATATACCAAGTGAATTAGGTAATTTATTAAATCGTTGTTGGTCTCCAACACCACAACATCGACCTACATTCAGTGAAATTGCTATTATTATACGTGATCTTGCTGCATCATAATTTCATTTACACTCTTTTTCCTTCAATTTTTTCTCTCACAGTTTTTTTTTGTGTTCATTTATCTATGTTCAAATCAATTACTATAATAGTAAATTCCACAGTATGACGATGGTGATGAAAAAAAAAGAAGAAACTAATTGTTCATTTTGTAATCACAAACAATATAGACAATTTTCTAAAATTTTCAGCCTTTTTTTTTACTTTTTATTTATTTATTTACATTCTTTCGAGTTAGTTCTATTCATTTTTGAATATTCAAACCACCCCCGCACCGGCCAGATTGTTATTTATTTCATGTCAATAAAACAGTAGTTACTATATTATTCATTATCATAGTTGCATTATTGAACGTGTATCATAATAAAAATACTAAAGAATTTTAATTTGAACTAAATTACTCAATTCAAATAAAGCACACTTAATTAACCTTTCATAATTATATGTATTTAGGTTGATTAAAATACATTCGCTTAGTTACTATTCATTATATATATATATATACATTGTTTACGAATCGAAATACAACATCTTAAACTCTTTTCTTCATTTATTCTCATCTCAATTGTTTTCATTATCATCTTCATTATGAATATAAGTAGTATAAGTTGTTAGTTGTAAAAAAAAAATAGAACAAAAGTTGATGTGTTTTTTCTTTTCATTCGGTTTTCTTTTTTCTTTGATTCATATATTAATGAAAAATCATTAAACTTTTGTTTTCTTTTTCTCTTTATTTTAATTTTTTTTAAATAATATTTAATGCCAATCATTTATTTTATTTTTCTCTTTTTAATTCTATTCTCTAAATTCAATGTTCTCATTTTATTAAATTTTAAAATGATATGTAATTTTATACTATTAAAACAAACTAATAATAATGATCAATGTATAATAGACTTTAAATATAATTAATACTGACCTGTTCTACAGTACCTTCACTATTGTTCTTTTAATTCTTTTTTTTTATGAATTGTATTGACTAACTGAATTATGTTATACATCATTATCAAAGTGTACATATAAAATATTCAAATAATTATGGGCATATATACTGACATATATTTTATATTTCCTTCTCTGTTTACATTTACCGGATAATACTACTAATGATCATAATTGCTCTCAATTGAAGATTTTTGTTATTTCAACTCTTTGAATAATTTTTCTTTCTTTCATCTATTATTTACTTACAAATTTTGTGAGTAATAATAAACTTAATTCATTCATGAGTCATTTATTTACCCCGGTTTACTTATTTTCAAAGGATTCATATTATTTTCACTTTCATTATGATGCTTGACATCTGTATTCAATAGATTTAATTCATCTGTGAATATACCAATAATAAATGGTGTCAAATTTTTTTTTCCTACAAATTGTACATTTCATGTTATAAAATTGATGCCAATACTACTAATAATAATGATAGTATTAATAGTGCATATCATATTGCAGCACTTTTTTTTCCATTATCAATACTGTATCATTATCAGAAATATGCATTTTAATTATCTACAAATAGACATGCTTTCCTTCTGTATGCATTATACAATGCATCTCTTTGTTTTCTTCATTCTGGCCACATTTTATTTGTTTGTTTGTTTTTTGTTTAGGTAAAGAGTTCAGCTTTATTTGTCATTACAATATAATAAAACGTTTGTATTGCTTCTATTTTATACCATATCTTCATTTATCTATTGTATTCTCTATTTCTTCAATAGCCTACTTAATAAAACAATAAAACAGAAACAAAACCACATTGTTTTTTTTTATAGGAATAAATTAATTATCATTCATTGAAACAAAAATGTTCATATTTTTATTTTCTTCTTAATTGTTTCCATCTTTTTTTTCTTTTCGATGACTTTTGTTATCGCCTTATTATTGTATTTCTCATCATCTTATATTATAAATAATCTTTGTTACATCATAACCATATTATATTCTTCTATGATTTTGTTTATACAGTTTCTTTCTATTTCTTTATAATATATTTATTAACACTGACAACAAAACATTTACTGTCTATTTAGCATTTTAAATTATCTTTTTAATTAACTACTTTTCCCCTTGTCTTTATTCTCTTAATTCTTTTGTATATTACATAACAATTATTGAAGATTGGTGAATGAATGAATGAATAATAATAAAAAAAATCGATAGGGTTTCTAGAAAAAGAACCAAATCAAATACATGCATATATTACTTCACCTATAATGATCTCAATTTATCTTTCTTCTTTCTGTATTTCAACAAGTTTTCTTTCTTAATTGAAATCGAGATAAAAATCATAATTCATTATTACCATTTATTATATTGTTATTATTAATTTACAAATAAATTGCTTTTGTTTACTCATTTAATAAATAAAAAATAAACCCTACAGTGATAAAACACAAAAGACTTGAGAAATGGTAATGAAGTATATGTATAATAAAAGCAAAATGTTTTGTGAAAGAATTGTTTCTTTTCACTAAATATAAAAACAACACAGTGTAAGAAAACTAAAATAAAACAAATAATTCGATCAATAATAATAATAATTAATAAGTAGTAAGTGTAGGAAGCGATTTCCTACAGGTTTAACTCTAAGCTATTTTCTCTCTAGACCGCCGAGCACGGAGTCTTGGTTTAGCCAAAGTCAGAACAAGTAAGCTATTTGACTTGATAAACTTCATCTGTTTCTAAAACACAAATTAACACCGTTAGTGTACAAAATAAACAAAACAGCCTTTCAACACAGGGAAAAACAGAGACATAAACAACAGTAACTAGAACATAGGAAAAATGAGTCAACAAGGTAAATATTCTTTTATAATGAACATAAAATTGTGATTGGTAAATAAACAAGACATAGTCATACAAGGTCAAAGAAAGTTAATGTGGTGGTAGGCGTTTCACTTTATCATAAATGAGTTCGTTTATCGATTACACCTTACAGTAAGTGTTTTATAAATTTAATTAATAGAAAATAAAAAAATAGAAAGTTTAGATTTATGTTCATTAATATTTTTTCACATGATCACTGCCAAAGTAGAGTTACTATCCACATTGTTAAGAAAATTTAATAATATAATGGAATGATCATCTACTAAACAATAATCGGTACTTTTTCACAAATAGTTTGTCTATCAAAATGCTGAAATTAAGCGAATTTTTATATGTACTTTGAGAATTTTATTACCATTGTTAGTAATTGTGAATACAGACAAGGTAAATTATGGGTTTATTCGGTGAGATCATAATCTGTGGACAAACCAGTCAAATATAAGATAACAGGTTTTAGATTTTGGTGAGAAATTCATTTGGCTAAATAGCATTTTGGCATTTTAGCTTATGTTAGTTCGTGATGAAAACTTTAAATCTAACTCCTAATCCTATTCATCAACTGTAAATCTTGATCTCAATTCGTCACACTGATTTGTAATCTTCATTTAGCCCTGGTGAGTAGGTGAACATTTTCAAGGTCACTTGAGTCACTCAAAGGTTGTTCATAAATTAAAGTCACCTTTTCCGTTATTCAAACGACCGGACGTATTTCTTTAAACAATCTGTCTCATTGAGTTCTGAATCTACAACCGGTTCGGCAAAACTCTGAAACGTCTAAGATAAACAAACTTACAATCTACTTAAGAGACCGATCTTCACTAAAGTCCAGAAAATAACTACTAATCAACTAATGGAATGAATAAGTTACTTCTCCTATGCAGGTCAATTAAAATAGTCTTTCTTAACTGATGACATTACTGGTCATTTCACTTCCCGTTCTAAGTGTTAAATAATGTAGGATTATGTGAAAAGCAGTTTCAAAAAGTATAAGGTTCTTAAAAATAAATATTCTTATTACCTTCTATTCATACCATTAGAACTGACATGGATCATATAAAATGTATGGCAAATCTTGATTGATGCTTAAAATTTTGGTACAGAATACAACTCGTTCTTCTTTCGTCCCTCATTAGTTCTATAAATACCAGATAATTAAAAAATAATAATAAAGAAGATTACATTGATCCTTATGGGCGATTAACAATAATGTAGTTGATTCATGGCATATAAGTCTTTTACGAATCTATTTTAAGTGGTTGATCACTATAATGAAATCCTGAAGTACCATAACAGATGAATTTGAGCTTCAGTTTGATATTTTGAATTGTAAACACTTGATTCATTGATGAACATTACTCAGGAAGAAGGTATTTTAGTTTTATTAATTAACTGATTGGTAAGAACACCGATCATTCATTTTGTATTAAATCCACTTGGGAACTTATTAGTTGCACTAGTTACTGATTTCGCATACAGAATCTTGGAGAAGTCCCATACTATGACAAAACGTTCGTCAAGTGCTTCTAGATTTTCATAAGTGGTTTAATATTAATCATTTTATGATCTCGATAAAAATAATCATTTCATATTGTTTGTTTTTCTACTTTAAAATTGTCTAAATATTCAACTTGTTCATATGCATCAAAAAATTCATAACTATAACTTCTTCCAACTCCGCCTGGAGTCCCTCCGGGGGCCACTGCCGGACCCAAGCCCGGATAAAGGACGGAGGGTGGGCATGGGGTTAGCGTCATCATCCCGTAGAAAACTAACTCGCTAAAAAAACGCTAACCAGAAAGAATTATTCAAACCTTTTAACTTTTGCCCTGGGAGTCAGAAGGTCTTCATTTAGAAGAACTATGACGCCTCATGATGAAAGCCGAATTCCTTCGGAAGTTACGAGGCAATTTATTAAGGTACATGGAATGTTCGTACAATGTGGGACACCGGGATAGCCTTTCAAATTGCTGCAGAAATGAGAAGATACAACTTAGAGGTAATTGGGATCAGTGAAACACATTGGACGCAAGTTGGACAACAACGACTAACTTCAGTATAGCTTCCGTTATACTCCGTCCATGAAGAAGAAAATGCCCCACATACACAAGGAGTTGCATTGATGCTGTCCAAACAAGCACAAAATGCACTTATAGGATGGGAATCTCATGAACCAAGGATCATCAAAGCCTCGTTCAAAACAAACAGAGGGCATTTCAATGAACATCATTCAATGCTATGCACCCACGAACGGTTACAATGAAGATGCTAAAGATCAATTCTACAATAGGCTGCAGTCAATCATCGAGAAGTGCCAAACAAAGGACCTGACCATTCTGATGGGAGATTTCAATGCCAACGTTGGAACAGACAACACTGGATATGAAAACATCATGGGACGACACGAACTGGGAGAAAGGAACGAAAATGGTGAGAGATTTGCAAACCTATGTGCCTTCAATAAACTGGTCATAGGCGGCACCATATTCCCACACAAACGCACTCACAAAACCACATGGACTTCACCGGATCACACTACACAAAACCAAATCGACCATATTTGCATCAACAAAAAGTTCAGGAGGACGATGGAAGACGTGAGAATCAAGAGAGGAGCTGATATAGCATCACATCATCATTTGCTGGCCGCCAAGATGAAAATGAAACTCAAGAAGCACTGGACAACGGGGCGGACAATATCACAAAATTTCAATATGGCCTTTCTTCAGGATACTAACAAATTCAAGTTAGTCCTCAGCAATAAGTTCCAGGCCGGATTGCGTAAGGATATATTCTGTACAGAACAAATCTCAATTCTACGGATCATTGTGGAACAAACAATTGAATGGAATTCGTCACCCTACATCAACTTCATTGACTACGAAAAGGCATTTCATAGCGTGAACAGGACAACACTATGGAAACTTCTTCGACACTACGGCGTGCCTCAAAAGATAGTCAATATCATACAGAATTCATATGATAGATTACACTGCAAAATCGTGTATAAAGGACAGTTGAAAAAGTCGTTCGAAATAAAGACCGGTATCAGGCAAGGCTGCTTACTCTCACCCTTTCTCTTTCTCCTGGTGATCGACTGGATCATGAAGACGTCAACATCTGAAAGGAAGCAAGGGATACAATGGACATCTAGGATGCAATTCGACTATCTAGACTTCGCAGATGATCTGGCCCTTCTATCCCAAACGCAACAACAAATGCAGGAGAAGACGACCAGTGTGGCAGCAGCCTCAACAGCAGTAGGTCTCAATATACACAAACGGAGAAGCAGGATTCTCGGATACAACACAGTATGCACCAATCCAGTCACAATTGAGGGAGAAGATTTCGGAGATGTAATAACGTTTATATATCTGGGCAGCATCATTGGTGAACACGGTGGATCTGATGCAGATGTGAAGGCGCGGATCTGCAAAGCAAGAGCAGCATATTTACAACTGAAGAACATCTGGAACTCAAAGCAACTGTCAACCAACACCAAGGTCAGGATTTTCAATACAAATGTCAAGTCAGTTCTACAGTATGGGGCGGAAACTTGGAGAACTACGAAAGCCATCATCCAGAAGATACAGGTGTTTATTAACAGTTGTCTACGCAAAATACTTCAGATCCGTTGGCCGGACACTATTAGCAACAACGTATTGTGGGATAAAACAAACCAGATCCCAGTGGAGGAAGAAATCAGGAAGAAGCGCTGGAAGTGGATAGGACACACATTGAGGAAAGCACACAACTGCGTCACAAGACAAGCCCTCACATGGAATCCTCAAGGCCATTGGAGGAGAGTAAGACCAAAGAACACATTACGCCGGGAAATGGAAACAGACATAAGAAAAATGAATAAGAATTGGATGGAACTAGGAAAGAAAGCCTAGGACAGAGTGGGTTGGAGAATGCTGGTCGGCGGCCTATGCTTCATTAGGAGTAACAGGCTTTCTTTCTTGTTCTATAACTTCTTCCGTATAGGTTAGTTCAAACGTAGTATATCATACTGGCGTTTATGGGCCATAATGTTTTATATGGAAGATGTTATAGATTTTTTTTTGTTTAACGAAATTTTAATTTATTCTTTACCTCTAATGGTATGTTGTGGTTTTTCATGCCCATTAAAAGTTTTGTTACATAACAGAACTTTATTTTTAACAGACAAATTGTTATTTAAGGTATGAATTGTTATTAGTAGAAGCATTCTGTTATTAAGATACATATAAATCACATGAATAAGATAAATACAGTATAAAAATGCAATCATTTCATTTATTGTAGCCAATTAAAATACTTTCTACAGATGGTTTATTCTTAATAATAAGATATACATTCAATTAAAATTCTATATTTTCTTTTTATACATAAATATGAAATTATCTTATAGCAGATGTAATTGAAAATGGTTTATGCTTCTGTAATTTATCAGGCTTCGAAGTAATTTGAAGAAAGTAGTGTAGAATACTCATTATTTTTCGTTTATTTTTCCTTGTACGTTATCTTATTAGTTAATCTTATTTTAAACGTATTGCTATTTATTCAGTCAGTTATAATATTTTACTCATACGTTAGCTATAAGTCTTCCAAATTTGTTAAATTGTCAATAAAAGCATCTTTACCCAACAGTACGGCTTATTCGATGAACAGAAGATATTTACGTTATATTTTCAATAGTTGAGATCATGAGTCAATTAAAGCTAGACCATCATAGAAAACCTGGAAGCACTGGACGGCCGTTTCGTCCTATTGTGGAACTCCTTAGCAGTGCCCAACTATGGTCACGCCCCGCGAGACTCGAACTTAGGATCTGTCGGTCTTACGCGCAAACGCTTAACCATTAGACCACTGAGCCGGTATCCAACTATGTTAATGTCTAACTTCAATCATTCCACGAAATTGGGTGACACATCCACCATTGTCTTTTGTAGGACCCTTCATTTCATATAAATTAGATCGTATGAATGATTGTTATTGGAATAAATATGTTGCCTATCGTCGTATATAATCATCGACTTAAATCGCGTTAGTCAATAACGGAATTAAATAAGTCAAATGACGAGAATAGACTTTTGAATGTATATTGTATATGAAGCGAATAGAACAGAGAGAAGCGAAACGACGCGCAGAGGAGATGGCGTGTAAGCCAACTCTCTTTTAGTCAACCGTTAATCAATATTTATAGGCACACAAAACATAAGTTACAGACATGTAATGAATAGGATAAGAAATGTACACACACCTACGCTCATATAAAAACAGTCAAGGTTGATGATAAGCGAATAATTAACAAGGTCAGAATATGACTCAACTGGAATGAATAGATTGGCCTGTCCGAAAGCTAGAATAAGGTATATGGGCTTTACATAATAACCGACACTACATCTGTGAGTTACTATCTCACAACAGACCCGATTGAAGTCCATTGGTCACTGCTTCTCACTAGAACTCCAGGAAATACCTCTTGAAGCCAGTCACTAGTGAGCATATGCTGATTAATATCAGAAAGAGTGTTTGTGGATATTATCGTAATCTCAATAGTTGATATTATGAGTCACTTGAATTATGTTATAGTTCATATAATTTAGTACTCTGTAAGAATAATCGTTAAAGGTGTATAGGTTAAACAGAATCAACAAATATGAGATGATATCCAAAGCTTTATCAAAAGAAACCGACTCATGATTTCAATCTGTGAAAAACATATAATCTTTAATGGGTATGTTTCTGTGGCTTTTTTTGTTTTTTCTGCACCTTTATTTAATTATTATCAATACTTTTAAATTACTATTTTGCACTTTAAACTCTAATCATTTATTATTATTACCTTCTACAAGTTTTCTTGATTATCATTCAGTTTATTATTATGACCTTTGTTGTTAGTCGTTTTTCTTCATATCTGTCAACTGGACTATTATCTGACCTATAAATTCTGTTCTCCCTGACCCCATGATTAGTACGTTAACCTCATTTGTTATTTATTCTTGAATCCATTTTTGTGATACAATCCTTTCTATCCCTCTATAGACATATATTTTCCATATAACTATATATACGAATGTATAGCTTAAGTAAATGATTACGTCGAAAAGAAAATTTTCTTAGCTGATTTCTCTTTTTCTTAGTTAATCTGATTCTTTGAAAATTTTAATGTATGTACTACTGATGAGTCTTAAGTTGGTAAAAAAAGAAAAAAGTAGATTTCCAAAAATCTCTATTTTATAAATAGCTTCTTAATGGATGATTTAATCTATTAGAAAATGTTTCTTCATAGTGTTACTTATAATCAACTTGAATATATTGATCATGTAATAAAAAAATATAACGGTAGTTAAGGCAAATTTCATGATTTAATACATCACTTACTCAATACCTTTTATATCCTACTGAATATATAATTTTCTCTTTAAAATGTTTCCCAAAATAGTTCAATTAACTTTTCTTTTTCTTTAGTTCATTTGTAGTTCTTTTCTCTTTTCTTTTTAAATTAGTTACTTATGATTCTTTTCCTCTTTTTTTTTCTTCTTTTCTTTTAAAGTAGTTAACTTATCTAGTAAAATTATTTTTAATTTAATTTATGAAATATGTTTCAGCATTTTTTTGTCTTTTGTTTTAATTCATCTTTAAATCTACTTCCATTTATTGTTACCGATTGTTCTCTTATGTTAATATAGACAACATTGAAAGATTCTTTTTAAAAAAAAAAATCTTAAATGATAAACTTAAACTGAAATTTAAAACAAAATAAAACAAGAAATAAAGACAATGAATAAAATTTACTTAATGACATACATAAATCTGTAGCATATTCAAGATGCATATTCATCATTTGTATGCTTTTAGTTTATTTCTTTTTTCTATAAAAATGAAATTGTCCTTTTTATTTTATTTTTAGTGTTGCCAAAATTACTGCTCATCTTAATTTAATTCATGTTTATGTGTTTGGGTGTGTGTGTGAGTGTGTGTGCGAGTATAATTTCTACTAGCAAATCCAATGAATGTACATTGAACATTTTTTTGTACCTTTAGTAAAAATGTGTTCCTCTTTTTCTCCATTCGAATGACAAAACTATTTAAAATTGTTCAAAGAAATGAAAAGAGTTGATTCTCTTCATCTTTACATATATATATTGCCTATTGTTAATATTACATGCTTCCATATTGTTCTTTTTTAACATTATTTAAAGAATTTAATGTTATAAGAGTGAAAAGAAAAAACAACAACAAACAAACAAACTTGTTAATAGCACTTTATTATGATTATTATAATTAGTTAGTAAATTATGTTTCTCTATAATTTCATTTGTTTTATATACATATTTATTTGATTATTTATTATTACAGAATGAATAGATTACATTAATCTATTCAAATGTAAATAACTTTAAAGTTTAATGGCTAGCAATGGAATCCAGGACGTGTGTTTCGTCCTATTTAAGACTTGTCAGTTAGATGTACCTGCGACCCATTGTTGATGTTTACTCAGGGACTCGAACTCAGTACCATTCATTTTAAATGCCATTGCGTTATTCACTTAGCTAGTGAGTCATAATAACCACTTGATTGTGAACTTCAAAGTTTAGTTATAAATGAGCATATATTGATAAAATCGAATTTCCTATCAGAAGTTGTATATGAATGATATTCAAGGTTCTTTTCATATTCTATAAAAATAATTCCTCATATCATAACATATTATTAGAGATATATTAGAAAAAAAGAATTGAAATGTTTGCTTTGTGTAAAACGTTTTACCACAGAAAATATATTTTTTCAATTTATTAAATATTACCACTGAAACATTAAAAAAATACAAGTTGAATAAAGAAATATTTTCAGAATGGGTTTTGTGGAGAGCTTAAGAAATTTTACAAGTTGAAATCATGAGTCAGTTGAAGCTAGACCACCATTGAAAACCTGGAAGCACTGGACGGCCGTTTCGTCCTGGTATGGGACTCCTCAGCAGTGTGCATCCACGATCCCGCACCACGCGGGGCTCGAACCCAGGGCCTTCAGTCTCGCGCGCGAACGCTTAACCTACTGGACCACTGAGCCGGCATCCAATGGTGTTAATGTCTAACCTCAACCGCACTACCGAGGAGTCCCACAATCGGACGAAATGGCCGTCCAGTGCTTCCAGGTTTTCAATGGTGGTCCAACATCAATCGGTTCATGATCTCAATAAAAAAAATTATTATATGATTGTACTATTTTCAACCTTGAAATTTTATTTATTTATTCCTTCATGAATAGCATATTAACACCCAATATCAATGATTAATTCTCACACAAACATA